AGCCAGTTCCCGTATTAATCAGACCTAGCAGGGAGCTGTGGTATGTTAGAACTATAACTCGTTGTAATCGTTCCATGACTTGCAAATGTGGCTGGTGGGCACTAGAGCTGCATGCACCACCAGAAGAGAGAAGGGACACTAGGTATCGAGGACAGTGATGCCCCATCATCATTCATACTCACCTGGAAAGAGAATTCACAGAACAGGACTTTTACTATCACTTTCTAGGGAAACTTTAAAGGGACCTGAGACCAGCTGTAAAGCAGCACTCCAGGGGGGAGAGGTAGTCTCCAAAGCACAGGGATGGTTCAGATCCAGGCACAGAAGAGTTAACTCAGCTGAATGCTCTCTGTGGTCTTCATAGTGTCAGCAGGAACCAGATTTCCTGTTTTCTCCTAATTGTGGACACTCACCTATTCTCAGATAATCTCCATTACAGTTGGAGTCTGAAATGTACCCCCAGCCTGGCTCATGCTTTGAACGCTTATTCCTCAGCTCCTGGTGCTGTTTTAGGGGCATGTGGGACCTTTAGGAGGTGAGGTTTCACTGGTAGAAGTCAATGATTAGGGGTGGGCCTTTGAAGGATATCTGGCCCTTGGGTCCTGATTCCTGGACTGCTGTGATGTGAATGGCTTCTATCACACATTCCTGCTGGCCATGAACTAAGCTGCTTGACCTGCCTTCTCTACCATGATAGTCTGAAACCCTCTGAAACTATAAGCCAACATAAATCTCTCATCTCTTAAGTTGTTTTCTGTCAGATATTTTGGTCACAGTGATGCAAAAGTAAACTTTCCATCCATCTACCACTGATTCCTGGCTTCTGCTGAGTCCTTGGCCCTACCTGGTTAAAACTACCTGTTCAGAATTCAGGAAATTGAGGCTCGTACATTGGCAGTAGGTGGGGGGGCACATCCAATGTAAGTCACCTCAAAATCTAGCACTGGCCACCTTCCTTCTGGTGGACAGTGTCCTGAGGTGTCCTTTTAGTACCTGGCCTGGCCAGTCGTCAGCTCCAGCAGAAATTAATGTCACGGTATCAGTCAAGTTAGCCAAACTGGGTTAGGACAAGGAAGTTACTCCCACGACTCACCACTATACATGTCAGGGTGGTTTCTTAAGGACGAATCATTATAGGGGTGGTCTGCAATAAACAAAAGAGGGTGAGGAAACAGGAGACTGTGGAGAAGTCATGGAGGCAAACATAGGGAGAGAGAACAGAAATGCAAAGCCACAACACAATAAATGAGAGCACCAGTGTGTTTTGCAAAGGAAAGTGGCACATTTGGAAAAGGAGCACACTGGGTAAAGAACAAGCAACACAAAGTAGCTCAAAAGGAAACAAAATGGTTAAATCCTGCAAAAGAAGGCAATAACAAAATAAGATTATTTTTTATTTTATTGTTTTTTTTT